GTGAGTCCACCGTGAGAGGACGTTCCGCGCTCTCTTGGTGGTGTATCTTCGTCAGGATCATTCCTCTTAACAGATCTTGGTGACCTGGGAGTGGTGACCTCAACAGTACTCCATGACCTTGGTTCACTGATTTGAGGGATCCCTCGTGTGTCCGGGGAGTTAACAGTGAGCTCCCTTCCAGCCCCGCTCGAAGCGGCAGACCCCTGTCCAGGGGACCCAACGACTGGCATTGCGTACAACAGGGAGTTCCCGCCACTAGATGATGTGGATTCTCCGAACCTGGTAGTGGAGTGACTGTCGTTGGACATTGTAGTGGAACGTGGGCTTAGGTCTCTTAGCTCAGTCCCCGATCCCGTTCCCCAATGGGAAGTCCTGTCCTCCAGCTCCTCACGCGTGGTTGCCGAACTGGTAGACAGTCAGGGATCAAGCCGTGCCTTACGGCTGATAACCTACGTTCGCGGCAGTGATGGGTGGGGAAATAGTTGGATACCGATCCTCCCTCCCACGGCCGCAGCAGATCCTTTTGCCGTGATCACGTGTCTGTAAATGGCGCCCCTAGTTCCTAGGGGGAAAGAATTAGCAAGGGTGGTTACCCTTGAGCCGGAGATGCGGCGGACGTCCAATTAGCTAAGTCCGCCTACTGGTCTAGCTTGATATGAATTGTGTGTGTTTGTGCATGCCCGAACGCACTTTTTGGGGTTGGCGACTTGCGCTTGTTCTGTTTGACCGGTTTCGTGCCATTGCCGTCGTCTTTCGGCGTTTCGGCAGACTTCATGAGCTTGGCGAGAGCAGCGTGAAAGACAATGGTCTGGTTCGGGTCCATCATTGCCTTCGTGTAACGTGGGCACATTTGCTTCATATACCAGTGGGCGTGCTTGGGGGTGTAACCTGAATTAGGATAGTTTGCACCCAAGAGGCAAATTGCTGTGACAGGGATCTTGGCATTCAAGAACGGTTGGGCCATGACTGGGTCGGAAGCTGCCAGGAGCGGAACTGTTTCAGGAAGAAATCGATGGATCATTTCCTCGATGAAGGTTTCCAACTTGCGACGAGGGCACGCAGTCAGAAGACACACTACCGTCGAAGTCGAAGTAAAGTGTTTGTTTGGCCTGTGGCCAGCAATGCTAGACAGCTGCTGCTGGTTGGTGGTGGTCACCAAGACCTTCTCCATCAACTGGATGTTGTTTACCTGCGAAAAAAGACATGCACATATATATTTACATAATTAAATACGTATATGTATATATACATATATATGTAGATATGCTACATGTCAAGAGAGAAAGACAGAGAAACAGCAAACAAACTGCGTCGACAACAATTGAGGTTCCCGCTCCGCGTTGCTCGCGCGCAACGTTGCTATTCGAGCGGGCCCTCCTGTGGGCAATCGCGGACGCTTCAGTGTGGACCTGGATAAGGTTCAAGTGCTTCGTACTGCTCTCGCGGTGCTGAAATGCAGATGTCCAATTCCAATGGCGCACCAAAGAACAAGAAGCTTACTTAGGCGTCGAGCGGAAGTTATGGACTTACAACTTACGTGTAAGGTATGTTATAAGTTGTTGAAGTCGTGTTACAACATGGTTAACTTCAAGCTAAGCTAAGTTTAGTTTTTGGTGGCAGTTAGTGTGAACATATACGACTTATAAGTTGCTGCTGATATATGACTGGTATACTTATGATTAAGATACAAGCGAGATAGGATGAAGTGAGCTTCGAATTATGATTTTCAAGTAAACAAAGGTTTCCACGTCCGGAACCTAATTCGCAGCATGCATGGGCAAAATTTCAACGCTACGCGATACGGCCTGCCACCAGAGCCGCACACTTGGTTGTCTATTGGGGCCTGCGAACCTTCACCAATAAGCAGATTTCGACATTGCGCACGCCTGCGACTACTTAAAAACATGAAAAGAACAAAAAAAATCCAATCCGGCCGGGGACCAGTGAGCCCGCACTCGACAGCAGGTTTCCACCTTTTGCACGCCTGCGCCTGCTAAACACGATGACAAGCACCGTGTTTTTCCACGTTTTCCACATTTTCGCAAAAATGAAGCCTAGTTGGGGCTACGCTGGCCCGCCGGGCACCCCCCAAAACACACGAGATTTTTGACACACCGACAAGTGCGTGCAAAAACGAACTTTTTCGCCAAAGTTGCGCCTGAACACGCTTTTCCCCGTGTCAGCGAGGTTTCAGCGCCAAATTACGGCGCGTGGTCGGCGCGTGGTCCCTGCTGGGTCGGCGGCAGGGGGCGCCGCCCCTTGTACCTGAAGGTTGGCCTTCGGCCTGGGCCTTCGCCAATGTCACGGACCACCCTCCGGTGGCCGGATTTCCTAGAATACAGGAGGCTCCGCTGGCCTTTCTGCATGCCCGGAGCTTGTTAAGCATGCATGCTTGCTGGGCATGCGCTGCCCGAGCGAATTGACTGCGGCAACTCTCTTGACATTGGTGTACCTTCTTTTTCCTGCCAAGACTATGCCGGAAGCTGAGAAATGGACAATGCTATTTCCATTGAGGTTTCATGGTGCGACGGGTCGTTTTGGAGAAACAGCTGAAAAATCGAAGTTCTGATTTGGGATAAATTCTAGGGCTGTGTGGTGATTCAAACCTTCACAGGCACCAAAAAAGATGATTTCAGGAAAGCCTAAAACAACAGAAAGAGGCCCCGCTCTCGCCAACCCTGGTCTACCCGACATGCCGCAAACGCGCCCGTTAGACTGCCAGTGCCTTCGAAACTGGTTGGTAAATGGTACTATACTTGTCATAGCCGTTTCTTCGCTGAGGTTTGCTTGTTGATACCAACCTAAGCACCGCCACAGCAAAACGTGACTTTTTCCCGAATGCGTAGCAAAGGGTTTTCGTTATAGAAGGGGGTCTGGGGGTCAGCATGTGTTCGCCAGATTTGTCGCTGCGGTCGCAAGCGTCCGCAAGAGTTCGCATGTGGAAAAAGCTGCCGTGCCGTTGGGGAAACTTTTGGGGGACGTTATTCGATGAGTCTGGAAGTGTTGAATTTGTCGCGCCCATGCGGGAGTCGTAGCTCTTAGCATGTTCGATGTCGTTTCGCTGCGCAGGCGCAGCGTTTTGTGAGGGTCCATGTTTGCGTTGCAAATGCAATGGGATTCGCGTTTCAGGGGCGCTCGCTTTGAAGTGTTTTGCTTGGAATGCTCGTGCAAGTGTTTTCTCGAGTGTCGTTTTCGTTGGCCCTGTCGTACAATCGGCTCGTTTTGGCGTGTTTCAGGAAAGCACTTTTCACGCAGAGTCATCGCCATTCCATTGGGGAAGGTTTCAAGGTGATGTTGCGGGGCGTAGTAGTTGGAGCAGATTTCGTGGCAGGCGCAATTTTTGGAGCAGTTTTCATTTCGCTGCAAGCTCCTTTTGCGTGACAGGCGCAGCACTTTGAAGCAATTTTCAAAAAATTGCGATGTGCGCGTTGCAAGTGCAATGGGATTCGCGTTTCAGGGGTCGACGTTTTGAGGTAAAGCATCGCCCAAGCAGTGCCATCCTGGTATCCTGTGTGCCCAATACTTGAGATGCCAACAGAACGCCGAAGAGCCAAGTATTTCAAGACAGAAGCCTTCAAGAAACTCGGTCGCCAAACCTGCCCGAGATGAAGCTAGATGCGATGATTTGGCGCTAGCAAGTTGCGTCGCTGAGCAAGAGGCAACTGGCTGCTCTCAAAATGCTCGGCGTGGAGAAGCGCAACGTTCGTGCCAAGTTCAGTTCAGGTACAGCTGGTTCAGCGGGCTGCGCTGGCGCTGTCCAGCTCTAAGAAAACAGTCACTTGGCCAGCGCAGTGTTTCTGTCCCCGCGGACTTCCTCGAATGCTACGTGGCTGCCGATGATTTCGCAACAGCGTTAAAACACATCCGTTCCCCTCAGGCCACCAGACTATGTGTCTCTCAGGTCTTGAGGTCTCGCAGTGGTGGTGTGAACAAAGCAACAAATATGACTGGGATGTCAACGGGCGCTGTTGTTTTTTCTCTCGCCGCTGCGATGTCAGACCTGCGCGTGCACAAGGTCAACCTTGTGGCGTAAGAGTTGTGAAACCCAGAATCAACTATGGGGCATCCCGTTGAGCCTCGAATTTCTGCTTCCAACTTCGCGGCTCACTCCTTCCAAAACGCTGCCCAGTTGTCCTTGAACGTTCTCAGCTGCATCACGGATTTTTGGCGACGTGTCGCAGATTCCAGTTGTCAACGCGCGAAGTTGGCTCAAGAGCTCGCCCTTGTCCGGAACCGTCCTCCAGACTCCGCGCGCTACCATGTGATTAGCTTTTCTAGCTCGGCAGCTGAGTTCGCATGGTGGACTATGAAGGCACCAGCAAGTTCCAGATAAATCTTTTTGTCTTGTTGAGTCGCTGCCAGGCCATCTCGTCATTGGCGCGCTCCAAAAACTCCGTCAGGGGATCGCCGGCCATGGGCGGCACTGGGCGCCAAGACATGTGGCCAATCTACCGCGCAGGCCGTGAAACCCGTAAGCAATTGGCAAAGCAGGGTACCGAAATTTTCGCTGCGGAAGCAAAGCGCATGTAACAAGCAGGGCACCAAAGTGTTCGCCAAACATGCTTTGCGTAGAAGATACATTCTCGCCAACTTTGACCCAATCTTGAATAGTTGTATTTTCTTGATTCTTCATGGGCAGATCAAAAAGGTATCAAAAAACCTTGCTTGAAGAGCTCTGGGGTGAATCCCACGAAAGTCCCTTCCACCCAAAGCACACGAAGTCTCTGGGGTCACGAATGCTGTGGCGCCTTTTCTGGCGCGTGCGTAGCCAGGTGGCCTGTCGCCCAGGCGAGCGTAGTCCCATGCAGATGCACGGGATTGGAAATGTTCCCACCCTTTGGTGGGGGCAATGAATGGATTTGGGCCAGAGCCCACAAGCATATGAAAATATGTATTCCACCATGCAATGCAGGTACCACCATGCAATGCAAGTGTCGGATGACAACTTCACACTGGTGGAAGAAGGGAAAACGAAAATTGTGAAAAAACCGCGCCTCCCCTCAGTCTGCATTGTGCTGGAAGAAGGGTCCCAGGCAGCAAAGCTTGCAGGGTCTTCTGCTCGTCGGAGTGACTTTGGCCACGTTGTTGGCGCACTCCTCCTCGATATGAAAGCACGGGCCCCGGGTGATGTAGACCTTGTTGAGGCCAGGTGGGGTATCCAAGTGCACTCGCCTCAAACGGTAGAGCTCGCTGGCCAGGGCCTGTTTGCTCTGCCTGAGGCTCTTTCCCTCCGCCTCCGCATCCATGAGCGATCCCTCAAGGGTTCGAATCTCATCGCTCTTGTCCTGCACGTCGTCCAGGAGACTCTGCACACGTGCCTTCAGGCATGCGGTCTCATCGACGGAGCTCTTCGGTTTCTGGCGCGTCCAGAACCATGCTGCCACCACAGTGAGGATCATGAGGAAGGGCATCAGGAGGATGACAAAGTCCAGGAGAAAGACCTGGTCATAGTCCTCGGCCTGCGCCTTGGCGGTGGTGACGGTGGTAGCTGCTGAGGCCCAGAAAACGGCCTGTGATGGTAGTGTGGAAGAGGTTGTGGTGGTGAATGAGGTCTTGAGGGTTTGCTTCGAGATGGCGTACTGGTACATGCTGTCCTTGCGCTGCTGAGGTGTCTTCTTCCTGGCCGCCTGGTAGGAGCTATCATCAACCAGGCGTGTCTTGTGCGATCTAAGGCGGTCTGCCAGGAGCTGAGTGGCGGCCGTCTTGGTGAGGCCGTCCGACATCTGTCTCTCTGAAGAGACCCATCGCACAGTCCTTGAGGCCTCTGACATCTTCTCGCGGGTGACCAGGACCTCTATTGCTGTGCGTTTGTCAGCCCCAAGGCTGGTTTGCGCCTCCGGCTTGACCAGGAGATCGTAGAGCGCTTTGGCGTCCACGATGAGCACGGGCGCTGCGTGGTTGGGGTCCATGGTGTAGTCCGAGAGGTCAATCTCGGGGTTGAAGAGAAGTTGCATGAACTTGGCGTTTTTTTTCGGCATAGGTCAGGGCATCAGCTGCTTCAGCTGCTGCTTGGCTTTCGGCCGCGAGGGTGCTCCTCGCCACTCTTGGGAGCTTGAAGGAGCGCCAGTCCAAGATGTGGTAGAATCCCTCCAGGCCTTTCTCGACCACATCACGATGAACCAGGGCTACCAGATACCCTCCTTGGCTTGTGAGGTCCTTGCGGTTCGCGAAGGCGGCGTCACTCCAGGCTATCAGACAGAGGTCGCCGAACTCGCCGAGGGGTCTGTAGATCAGGCCGACGTCATCGTTGGCCTTTGCAAATCGAAGTGCTTTGTTCGCGCTGTGGATGGTCTCGATCACGGCTTCGGCCGTCTCACCACGTAGCATGCTTGTGTGGACCTGCAGGTGAGGTGACGACTGGGTTGCAGGCCACTGAAGAGCTCCCAATAGAGAGCGCAGGAGGTTCCTCTCCTTCTCGGTGACCTGATCTTCAGGCTTTCTGCCCTTGGCCACGGTGATGGGCTTGACCTTGGTGAAGTAGGTCTTGTGGTGGAATCGCCAGGTGCCGTCGTGGTAGTTCATGTGGGCTCCACAGTCTTGTTGCCGTCCTTCCACTCCCGGAACTTGAAGATCCGCTTGAGGCTGTCGATCATCTTGATGACCTTGGGATGGGAGTGGTCGGCGGTCCCCAACAGATCATCTACATGTAGGCCTACGGCTGCAAGTAGTTCTGGGGGCTCAACCTGCTTTGGCTTGACGTCATCGTAGAGCATGAAGAGACAACCATCCAGCTTGTGGGGAATGAGCCCAACTTTGCGAAGCCTGGCCTTGGCAACTTCATACCAGGCTCTGGGAGCAGGCGCATCACGACGCGTGAAGACTTGATGCCCAATATAGCGCGGGCATCTGCTGGGAGACGTACCCACAGGGTTCTCTCCTCGGAGTGCTCCTTGCCCTGCAGGAATGCCGTGCTGATGTCCGAGGTGAACATCTGCCATTTCTTGTTCGCCGCAAGGGAGACGATGAGGCTGCGGGCAAGTCGTGTGAGTGTAGGGCTGGTTCTGGCGAGGTTGCTGTTGGTGATGTCCGGGTCATTGAAACCTTGGACAATCAGTCGGGCCTTTGCTCGAGGTGAGCCGTCCTTGTTCTTGCTCCACTTGAGGATGAACCGGGCCCTGAGGATCCGCTGCTGTGGCGCATTGCCTTCATCATCTATCTCCCAGACGCCGTAGTCGAAGAAGGACTGAAGTTCTTTTCGCTTGGCCTGGGCGAAGAGGAGCTTGTCCGAGACAGAGAGGGTCCTTTCGCTCAGGTTCTTGGCGTTCTTTTGGCGCTGCTGGAATGTACCTGCATAGGACGAATGTCCCTCGCTGGTAGTGTAGAAGGCATGGTAGGCGTGGTTGCGATCGCGGTGGTGGGTGCTTCATCCTTTTGGGATGAGCCGGCCATCCAGCGGTCGCGTTGCGCTGGCGCTTTGCCCTTCTTGGTGGTCCTGTCCTTGGCGAGCATGTGAAGGGGAAGAGGACAGTCTCCGCTTTCTCGTGGATCATATGGGCTGTCCCTGGCGACGTAGTGATTGCGGATGAGGTGGCTGCCGTCCTTGGTGATGGTCCATGTGTCGTGGATGGGCTCGAGCTTGAGCTGGCCGTTCTTGTCAGTGGTCCATCCCGGTGGTAGAGGCATGTTGCCACCCTCGAGGATGTCGGCGTGGAAGGCTCGCTCGGTTTCATCCTGTTCGGCATGTCCAGAGTATGGGCTGGGGCGATCGCCAGGTCGCCTGCTGGGTCCATAAGGTGTGGGTTGTGGTGGTTGCAGAGCTTGAGGTGTATCGAATGGTTGTGGTGCGTGAGGCTGGGTGTCGGCTGCTGTCGAAGTTGTTGCTGCAGTTGGGGCTTGTTGTGCGGTGAGGTCTGAGACCGTGGTGGTGGGATCAGCTGCTCGCGATCCAAGATGTGGTGCATCTGGTTCAAGCGGTGGCGGCTGATTGTCGCGGTTCGGTGCTTGTGCTGCTGTCATGTCTGTGTCTGGGTCCGGTGTTGCCGATGCTTCGGCTGGCACGGCTGTGCCGCTGCTGGTACTGGTGGTTGGGTTGTTGTCGGTGGTGGTGTGCTGTGGTCGGAAGGTGAACCGCGTCGTCCCAATCCACGGATGTGGCAGGGAACAGCGGGTGTTGAGTGGTTGTTGCCAGTCGTCAACATGGACTTCAGGCTGGCGCTGAGCTCGTTGAGTTGTGGGGTCGTAGACGTGGATCTCGGTGGTGCGGGCCTGGTTGAAGTCCTTGACATTGACTTCAGTGTCGTTGGTCGCGGGGAAGAACAAGGTGTAGCGAGGCTTGACGTGGATCCGCTCGATGCCGAGGCCATCTGCTGTGGGTTGCCAGTAGTCATCGGCTGCTGGTGGTGAATGAGGTAGCGTCGCATGGGTTGGCCTTTTGACATCGGGTTCCTCGACTTCCTCATCGGATTCAACGTCCTCAACCTTGCGCTTGTTGGTCTTGCTGAGGTCGGTGTAGGACGTGGTTCCCCGATTCCTGAGTTGTTGGAGAATGTCGTGCGGGTTGAGGTCGGTTTCAGCTTCTTGAAAGGTCCGTCGGACATGTTCGGGTGCTGCTCTGAGGAGGTTCGTGCCGTGGACGATCCAGTAGCACTTCGGTCTGCCATTGGTGAGGTCGTTCTCGATCATCACCACAGTGGCCGGGCCCTTCCATCGGATCTTGGGTCCAGTGCCGGCGGTGTCCCTCCAGTAGAAGACCTTGGAGCCAATTTCAATGCTGATGGTCGCAGGCTCCTTGGCTTTGTGTTGGCGCAGTAGGGCTCGACGAAGTCTAGCGTCGGCGTCGGCTGTGAGGATGGCCTTGCTGGCTTGTAGCTGCATGTTGAGCTTGTGCTGGAAGCGCTCGCTTGGCTGGGTGTTGATGGGGTTCAGTCCATCCTCAAGGAGTTGGCCAGGCAGGTGCGGTTGATAGCCCAGTACCCATTGCACTGGGGAAAATCCCTGGTGGTTGGCGAGCTTGTTGAGCGCAGGCACGGTAAAGTCCAGGGCTTCTCGAAGTCCATCAATGCTGTCCCGGCCGCTCTCAGCGATGAAGACATCTACTGCTCGACGAAGAACTTGATGGCGCCGTTCCAGTAGAGCAAGTCGCTGATGAGCTTCTCCAGGGCTGATGACGAGTTCTATGTTGTTCTCGCCGGTCCATTGCCTCACCAGGTCGCCACACCAGGCTCTGTGGCTGTCAACTTGAAGTACCTGTGGGGTTCCAAAGGTTCGGATCCAGCCGCGCCGAAGTGAAGGAAGTCCTCGCTCTGCTCGGTGTTCAGGACGCGGGCTGCCAGGCACTTGGTTGCTGCATCCAGCATGGTGAGCACAGGCGTGGGCTTGCCTTGGATCTGTATTCAGAGGGTGTCTGCTTGGAGTCGCTGGTTGAAGCGCTCGGCCGTGCAGATGGCTGACTTCGGAGATTGGGCTGGTGGTGCATAACGGCTGCAAAGCTCACAGTGGTAGTTCTTGAGGGCGTTGAGCACGTGTTGAGAGGCACCACGAGCTTCGAGGATCTTCTGCAGGTCCTTCTGGCTGGGGTGTCCGAGATTGCGATGCAGTCGGGCGATGAGTCGCTGCGCCTCCACAGGACAGCTGTCGTGGATGCGCTCGAGGATGCCCTTGTGCTGGGGTGCTTCGGCCTCAGGCTGAACAAGTTGTTCCTGATCGGCAGCAGGTTGATCATCCTCGTGGAATGCATGCTCAGGATGAACATAGGTGAGGTCCGCGATGAGGTTGGCGAGAGCGTTGCACATGTCCGGCTGATAGGCCGCTGCTGCTCCCGTCAAACTGCCGAGGTGAGGAAGATTTCCTTGGAGCTGGATGTGCCTGTGGTCTCCGGGGCATTTCAGGTTGAAGTGCTCAGCAAACTCTGCCTCGGTGGAGAGGATGGCAGTGGGCTTCTTGATGTAGGCCCACTCGTGGTCGTTCATCCAGAATCCGGCTCCATAGGCACATTGATGAATCTCTGCAGGTAGGTCATGCAGTGAGGGCGTGCTCCATGCCAAAGACAGTAGAGGATGTTCCACATAGGCTTGCCGTCCTGCGTGGTGCTGCTTGAGGAAGGCCTGCCGGGTGAGCTTCAGGTTGGTGCGATGCTCCATCTCCCGGTCAATGGCGAGGCACTCAGCTTGGTGTTCATTGCGTTGGTTGATTTGCTGCATCCGGCTCCACTTCTTGCGTGGGGGTGCCAGCCAGATGATGTCTGGCATCTCCTCATCAATGAGGCGAAGTAGAGCTTGGCGGTCTGCAGCTCGGGCGAAGTCCCACTCCGGCAGATCGAAGGCGCGAACTTCCCATCCGAGTTCCTCCATGGCCTTGGACAGGTTGCTGCGGCCAGAGTAGATCTCCCAAAAGACATAGGTGGTGGTCGGCTTTGTTCGGAGGGCTTCATCGACATGGCGGTCTTGACAGTTGTCCCAGGTGGCGAGAGCCACATCAAAGGTTTTCCACATCTTGTACGGCAGGGGCATCTGGACAGGCTCGGTGGTGCCGTCGTTGTTGAGCTCGTGGTGAAGACAACGCAGTAGGGGTGCTGAGTCCTCCGCCACGTAGCTGGGTTCCGGAAGCATAGGGCTCGACCTTGAGGTAGTCGTGGATGCCGTAGAGCTCGATGTCGTGATTGTCCAGATCCGTGACCACGTCATCGGTCATGTAGTCGAAGGCGAGGTCCTGCTCGAGAGCGTCCTCGATGCCCTCATCAAGACGAATGAGGTACTCGCCCATGGAACCGCGGGTGGCTGGCTGCCAGGGTTCTCCAAGGATGCTGCAGGTCTGCTGCTCGTAGTCGACCTTGAGCTTGAGGGCCTCCAGGATTGGCCTGCCGACCAAAAGAGGTGTTCGGCCCTCCACCAGGAAGACTTGAAGTCGTCCCTTGTAGCCGGCCATGAACACGGGGAGGTGGATGCACCATGAGGCGATGCTGTTGCCGTCACCGCCGAACCGAATGGTCTTGTGAGTCCTGCTGAACTTGAACTCCCGGGGATTGACGTTCTTCCGGACCATGTCGGTGACGATGTTCATCATGGTGTCGTGGCCGCAGATGACGCTCGAAGCGCCACCATCTTGAAGACCAGTGATCATGCCGTCGGTGGAGTCCTGGATGTAGGCCTCATCATCGTTGCCGTCGGTGGATTCGTGGAGGATGGCCACCATATAGCATCTGCACCTTTGGCTCGCTTGTTCGGTGACGATGAGCTCGAAGGGCAGTTGGCTGCCCAGTGCCTTCTTGTCCACAACGAAGGCAGCGATTGGACTGGGTGGCAGACTTGCCACGGGCGAGGGCTGATCCCTTCTGGGGAGGTTTGCCATGATGCTTGCCTCCTTTGCCCTTGGGATGCTTTCCGCCTTTTCCGGATTTCCCGCCAGGGCTGGTTGGTGATGAGGTGGAGTTGGTCACGACCGCATTCATGGATCCAGAGGGGCCGAGGGCGACGACGGGGTAGTAGCCACGGGCCGACCTGACCTCCGCCAACTTCCTGCGAGCGTCCATATAGGCCGCGTAGACTTCTTCTTCTTCTTCAGGATGAGGCTCATCGGTCGTGGCCTCAGTGTCGGCGGGGTAGTCCTCCTCGGCTTCCCAGAAGATCTCATCGTCTTCAGGGATGTCTGCCTCCGGGTAGTCATCCTCCGGGGTCCAGGCCAGATGCGGTTGCTCGGGGTCCTCCTCCAGGTAGCAGTCATCCTGGTAGTGGGCCACGGCAGGTTTCCTGTAATTGGACCACTTGTATGAGGATCGGAACTTCATCCTGCCGGCATCCCACGGTGGCGATGTAGTCGGTCGGTGCGAAGGACGTGAGGTGTAGTCCTGGCCGAACAGGTAGTACAGGGATGCTTCAACCCTCTCGAGGGACAGCTCGCCGGAGGTGTGGGTCAGGACCATTTGCCGCTGCTCCGCCGTGAGGTTGGCTCGCCTCAAAAGTAACCATCCAGAGATGGTCGGCGGAATGCTGATCTTATGCTTTTCGATCTCCCGAAGGTGCTCCCGGTGCTCGGTGCAGTAGGCCAGAAGGTTCATCTCCGGCCGCCTCTGCAGGTGGTAGAAAAACTTCTCAAAGGTGCGGGGCATCTCGACGCGGTCGTCGTACTGAAAAGCTTTGTCCAACTGGTGGATCACGTCCTGGAAGCCATCATCCTTCTCGGTCACCGCGTCTACCATGTGCTCGACTTGACGCCAGGCGGGACCGCTGAGTGAGGTCAAGAGGTTGATGGTGGCTTCCTTCTTTTTGCTGCTAATCCCCATCTTCAGGTAGTACAGCATGATACGCTTGCGGTACTCCTTGTACGAAGATGGCTTGCCATCGAAGAGGGGTATGAAATTGTCGCGGGTGATGTCGGTGGAGCCAGGCCCATTTGCCTGAGAGCTTCTCGATTCCTCCGGCATGGTGGTTGCAGGCACGGGGCTCTAATGCAGTGGTTTGGGCTCGTGAAGGTGTGGAGTTACTGTGGGGCAGGATCAGCCGAAGATGCCAAAGAGCGTGTTCAGCTGATGATGCCGCGGTGCACGCGCAGGTGGATGCCCTCCAGCAGGTTCAAGCGAACTTGCCGTAGGGCTCCGCTACCAACTTGAAGAGCTCTGGGGTGAATCCCACGAAAGTCCCTTCCACCCAAAGCACACGAAGTCTCTGGGGTCACGAATGCTGCGGCGCCTTTTCTGGCGCGTGCGTAGCCAGGTGGCCTGTCGCCCAGGCGAGCGTAGTCCCATGCAGATGCACGGGATTGGAAATGTTCCCACCCTTTGGTGGGGGCAATGAATGGATTTGGGCCAGAGCCCACAAGCATATGAAAATATATATTCCACCATGCAATGCAGGTACCACCATGCAATGCAAGTGTCGGATGACAACTTCACACCTTGCCTTAAACACAACCACATTTTGCACATCAATCAAGCCGATTCCCGTAAAACGTCGCGCGGGAACCGCGGAACTCGCAAAAACAACCTCGAGTCTTTGCACCTCGACCACGCCGATCCCCGTAAAGGGTCGCACACGCGAATCAGAAATCACAAAAAACCCCGGGTTTTAACACATCAACCACGCTAATGCCTGAAAAGGTGTCATTTTTTGCAGAGTGGGCTTAGTTCTACTACGCCGCCTTGAGATACAACATTTTTAAGTTAGTCGGCAAGTTTCCTCGTGCAACACGTATTCCGGCGAGAAAATCGCAAGCTTTCCCTATACAAATTGCGCTTGCGCGCGAAGGAATGTAGGATCGCTATGCATTTCATTGTGCGTTTTCCTTACGTGTGCCTTTATACATTTTAACGCTGACTTTCCCTATACATGCCTCTATGCATTTTCCTGCGTATTTTCCCTATATATACCGTTATCCATTTTACTTCGTACTTTCCCTATGCATATCTCGTTGCATTTCGCTGTACGCTTGCCCTGTGTATGCCTCTATGAATTTCATTGTACGCTTTTCCTATGCATGCCTCTATGGGTTTCACCGCGTAATTGTTTTGCGCACGCCTTTAGGCATTTCTCTCTACGCTTTCTCTGTGCAGTTGAGCTGCGCAGAATGCAACGATTTTATCGGAAGAACCCATCGCAATGCTTTCGGGAAGTACCTCTATCCTGCATAAGGTCCCGCCGCAATTAGTGTGCTCACGCACCTTGCTTCGCAATGGCCATTCGCGTGGCAAGCGCGGCAGTTTGGCAACCTAAGGTGGAGATTTCGTGGCAGGCGCGGCACTTTGTTGAGTTCCGTGATTCGCGAATCGCAATGGAGTGGACGCGCAGTCGGTCACGCAACGATGTCGTGGCAGGCGCAACACTTTCGTATGTCAAACGCGGGTTTCATGGCAGGAGCCGCATTTCGGCTACTCGAGTTACGTTTCGCGCGGCAAAATAGCACTTTGGCAACATGAGCTGCAGAAGAGAGGGGAAGAAGAGAGAAGATAAGCGAGGAGAGAAGAGAGAAGAAAAGAGAAGCGCGGCACTTTGTTGACGTGGCCCTAGGCTTTGGTAGCAGGCGCAACATTTTGTCAATGTAGAAGGCGCCGTGCTTTCAGACTTTTGAACATCGCAGCCGGAACGTCGTGGAAAGGAATATTGTCCAAACTTTGGGTGGAGAATCGAGACTTTGAAGCATCACAGTATTGCCAGCGCCAAAGAGCCAGCGTCGGCTTCCGATTTTCCGCACGATGTATCACGCCAGCGGCCAACGACTAATGAGCTAGAAGTCAGCTCGGGAGCCGTCTGACCGCCGAATCTGTGCACTTGCGACATATTGTCCAAGCCTGTTCCCCAGCCTTGTTCAGGGAATGTTTAAACGCACGTTGAACTACTCGTGAAGACGTGAGCATTCGATTGTCACAATCGCGCCAAGGAGATCGGAAGCTAGCCGCTGAACTGAGGCTTCCAAAAGCAATGGCCTTCTGCTTCAATATTGCCAAAATGGATGTCACCGGGGTCTTGGAAAAACGCCAGATCCTGCCCATAGGAAATGCCCTTCTCCGATGGTTGTTGATTCCTCCAGCACCTTTGCACTTCCTCCGCGTGCTTTGCATCTGCCCCATGAGCAACTAGCATCGACACCCTCAGAAGCACGCAATGCATGTTTGCCAAGTCGATCAAGTCCTGCTCAGGGGACGCAAGCCCTGCTTGCTGCACTTGGCGCGGGTCTCCCACGCACGCAGCTGTGTCCAGGTCGCAGAGCCGCGCGCGTTGCCAGCAGTTGTCCACGATCTGTAAGAGCACGTTGTCCAATTTGACATCACAGTGGACGACTCCCACACCGTGGAGGTACATCAGTCCGCTCAGGACATGGGCAAGCCAATGTCTGATAAGCTTTTTCCGTTCTTCGTGATCGGTTGACAGCCAACCTTTCACAGGGCTGGTGCGACTCCTCAGTGTTTGGGCTTCAGCAACATACTCCAACACCATCAGCAGCGTGCCGTCATGGTCGATATAATGACCATACATTTTCACAAGGGCTGGGTGCTCCAAGGTTGTCATCCTGATGTTGCAGCCTCGGAAGTATTGCCTGCCGCTGGCATGTAGCACCTTGAGGGCAATGTCTTTGCGCTGGCCGTCTGCTCCGGCAACTTGATATCGGAAGACTTTGGCATATCCACCCGCGCCGATGCGGCAGACACAATCTCCTTGAAAGCCAAGAGCCTGGCACATCTCAACATTCAGTTTCTGCCGCTGCTGGGGCTGGCGCATTGCCATGTCCCTCTGGATCAAATCATTGCAAGGTACGATGATCGGTACTGTCAAGCCGCTAGAATCCTCATGTGTCTCTCTAAGATACATGTGATGTTGTTTCTCGCTTGTGAATCTATATGGTTTTGTGAAGCCCGCAACCGCCGTCGGGCTTATCCACGAGATGCCCCAAGCCAAGCGCAAGAACGGATTTTCCTCGAAGAAACGGGAGAGTTGCCTAGGCGTGCCTGTTAGCACAGGGGTATCCGCAATTCGCAACCATGCTTTCTTTTTGAAGAGCTTGATGTCAATCTTCTCGGTCGCTGGATATTTGAACAACTCTCGCAGCATCCTGTCAAACGCCTTTGTAGCTCGTTGCACATCTGTGTTGGAAGCGTACTCCTGAGTCACATCCAAATATGATTGTTCGAGGCCTTCCCGCGTGACTTTCCATGCCTGAACAAGCCACCAGTCACCCGGTGTGTCTGCTGCTTGCAAATATGGGGATATGGAACACCCGCTGCGACGTGAGTTGCTCATGAAGCGACGCGAGTTGCTCATGAAGTCGGCCTCTATATGTTGTTTCTTCTCCTCATTGACAACCTGCGGAAACGGGTAACTAAAGATGGCTTCGTGTTTCCAGTCGCTGCGGCACGTGTCCGTATGTGTTTCCCAGCCATCACAAGTCAGGGTGTGGAGAGTCAACTTGTCCAAAGAGCTCCCGGTCACGGTCAAAGCATCCCTGCAGTAAAAAACAAGTCTCATGGCCGGAGATTCAAACCCGAACTCAGCCTGCACAGCAGTCGTGCTTTCTCGAGCAGCAGCGCTGGTCAGCTCGCCCAGGGCCCTCTTGTATCGCTTGGTCTGATCCCCACTGAGAAGCATTGGCACGATGGGAGCCAACAGCAGCATGGTGAGGCCGCTGGATTGCAGCCACCAAGAAGGGCGTGACATCAACATAGAGGAAAGACATAGCCAGAGAATCCCAAGTGCGAGCTGCATCCGCGCAACCCGGTGGATATCTGCCCATTCTGGCGGCAATTTGTCTGGGAATGAACAAAAGCACTGTACCAACCAAGCCTTGAAGAAAGCAAGGGCACTGCGTCTGAGAAAGCGTGAAACTTTGCGCGGAGCTTCGCGCGCTTCATGCAAGGCGTCCTTCAGCTTTTCAAGGCCCATCTTTTCATGGCTCGACATGTTGGATACCAAGCGCCTGGACCACTACCTGTAGCATGAGTGTGGCATTGTCGTCTTGACTGCTGCATCGTTGGCCTGCTGTGACACCTTTCGTTCGGATGCCGAGCCTGGCTGTTGGGATGGGCAAAACAAACACTCACGCCGCTTCGTCAAAGTACGTGGCTTTGCAATTCTGCAAGCGAGCCCTAACTGCCACGGCGCTTGAGCAATAGACGCCCTGTTTTCAGCGTAAAGGGCGCGGCGCATTTGACTGTGATGTGATGAGCATTCTGGCTGTGGACACAAAGGCGCTTTAGCTCCAGAAGAACTTGGTAGAAGCCACGAACCTGAATGCAAATGGGTTCTGCTTCTATATATTTTTTCAAACCTGCCTTGGGGGTTGAGCAAGTCAACCTTCTGCGTGTCTTCTTGGCTTGCTTTTTCGCAAATCTTTTTTGCAAGCGTTCCTTGTATGTTTGTGTAACGATTTCTTTGCTTGCTTTCTCCCAAATCCTCTTCACAAGTCTTCCTTGAAGAACAGTTGCTAACACATGGGTCTTCATCGGCTTGCGTGTTTCAGCTTCGGCCGTGTAACGATCGCAGCCCTATGGAGCAAAATTCCAAGTAGGCAGGCTGGAGCCCGCAAGAGGGCAGAACATGCTGTCACCCGATGAAGCTTGTGGACTGCATCCTGGGACACCCTTCGTTCTCGAATTTGCGCACCCTTGGGTCACAAACCATGGGGAAGCCCGAGGAGAAAAGCAAGTTTCCTGACTCGCTTTCCTGACAATCGCGCCCTGTTATACCCACCCACGTTTTTTCCCAGGGGACGAGGGGTTTCGCTGAGAGTCAGGCTTTGGGAAAGCGTTGCCTTTTGTATACCCAAACTCTTGGGCCGCTCCATGCCACCGGGTAAGGTCAACTAGGCAAAGAAGGAGGCATCAGGCTTGCCTTTCACGGAACATTTATCAAAGTCCACGGCTTTTTTTCAGAAGGCGCAAATTATGGGAGCTATGGGAGCTATTACCGGAAAAGGAAAATCCGCCGACCCCCTCGT